TCAAAAATAACATTGGTCCAAGAACAGAACCCTGTGGAACACCATATCTTATTGGTTTCTTTTGCGATAAACAATTAGTAATTTCATTAGTTTCTTTATGTCTATAGGTAATTTCCACTGTTTGTTCCCTGTTTTCTAAATATGATTGAAACCAATTTTGTGCAACCCCTCGTATTCCTATTTCTGCCATTTTTCCAAGCAAGATGTCATATACAGTAGATTAATTGTATTTATACTTTTCAGCTAATGAAAATGGTGATGGTGATGATGAAGATGATGATGAAGATGATGAGGACAGTGATGATGATGTACAGGTTGTTATTGGAGATATTAAAACAAGCCCCACATATACAAGCCTTAATATCAAACGTGGAGGACTGTTAACATCAGCCATTGGGGTTGAGAAATTGAAGGCAAGTTGTTAGTTCATGTCATGTACATTTATGCATTTCAGAGAGTGGTTGTATTGTAATCTACAAGCACTTTTACAGTTGTTTTGCTAGAATGTTACATCATTTGTTGTGAGACATGTTTGTTATAATCTGGGATACATCACAAGCTGCTACTTTATGAGCTTCAATTTATCCCAGGCCTGAATTAATTGCCTGTCAGAGACTACTTTAACTCTGAATGCAGTTAAAATACTGTAACGTGTTTCGTTACTGAATACGCCGTAGAGATCGTTAATTAGTTTATTTAACGATCTACAAGTAACGGCTACAATTAATTATTACACAGTTGCGGGGTTTCACACTTTATAACCCTAATCGCAATAATCTGTTACCACTGTTGCTGGGTTTCACACTTTATAACCCTATGCGCAAATCAGCTCACTCTGTCTTCAGTGGTCTACACGTTTTACAGTAGGGGAGCTATGTATCACTGTATCACACACTCCCAATTACACACTCACACACATGTCCGGTTCTTCTTTCCACGACGGCTGCTATACTCCAACTATAGTCGGCTGACTGGAGAACTGTTGATAACACACTCGCTCGTAGGCTTGCTCGAACTAGCTCGGAACTGAGCTGGGTGATGGCCACAGTACAACTCACTCGGCGACTGTTATGTTACAACTAACTCGCAGCCGCTCTGCAGCTCACTTATATAGCCGCAGTGCTTGCCTGTTGCGTAATGAGTGCCACGTCATCCTGTTACGTCACCGCTGTTGACTCGCATTGCATAGCTACCAGGTTGCGGGGGCTCGGCTAACTTCGGCTCCGCTCGGCTCACTTTGGCTCCGCTCGTGACGTCACCGCGGGAGAGTGGCGGGGTGATGACTCGCCTATTACGTGAGCGCTAAGTTACCACCACGTGCCACTGGGGAGGTAGGGGTCCTTCGTTGCGCAACATATCACAGTACCTTAGCCCTTCAAATGGTATTCCCAGGAAATATTTGTGGTTTCTTTGTCCCTACTTGGTATGTCCCAGAAAAATTTTTGGCTTGGCAGTATACAGTGTTCTCTGGATACAGTTATTTTTATGGGAGGTGTGACAGCTTTTGCTTTGAGTTCTTACCTTTCTCAGCAGAAAGCACCATGTAGAATAACTTGTCTTGGCTTTCAGGATGCAGGTTTAACATAGGTTGTGGGGTAGGGAAGACAAAGTTAATTTTGAATCACTGAAGGGGGTAATGCTTAGGGACATTATGAAGCATTCGTTACACAAACTGACAGTTTTTAGCCAAATTTCTTTATTTTGTAAAAATAGAAGTATGCTTATGATGTCACCTTGCTGTCTGTGTGTTTCTGTACATGTATCCCCCCCTCCCTATTAACTTTTGAATGGCTAAACCAATATTTATGAAATGTGGTGTGTATTATCAGCATCACAGCCTATCAAATTTTTGAGACAGAACCTTAATACTGATTAAAGGCCTGTGGCAATGTTCATGGAACTTAGTGTGCATATATCATGTCACCTGAGGCCATCGCTCTCATGAGCAATACCAACACTATGGCCTCTCAAGCTGTTGAGGTAATACCATTAATACTATTCAAATGTCAGAACTGATCATCATGCACTTAGTATGTATGTCATGGCACCTGTTTCCATCTCAGTGGCATACTTAAGAAGTCCCTCATATCAGTAGTACCAACATTATAGCCTCTCAAGTTGTTGAGGTAATACCCTTAATATTACTCAGATTCCTGAACTGATTGTCATGAAATTTGTATGTATGTGTCATGCTGTCTGAGTTCATCTTAATGGCATACATCATTAATTGTTCCTGTTAGTAACACCAACACTGCAGTCTTTCAGATTGTTGAGATAATAACCTTAATATTCCGTGAATGCCCAAATAAATTGTCATGAAACTTAGTACATGCCATCTTGAGGCTATCTCAATAGTGTACATCATATACAACTCCTTTATAGACCGTCAAAACATAACAAATAGAAAAATCAGGGCTTCGTTACATGTTTCAGCCACTAACAGCCATCATCAGGCAAACACATCAACAAACATACACCATTGACCTACTGTACAATAGATTGGATGCAATGTTAAAATACTTTGTGTAAAAATACACGAAGTCAGATTATATAAAAAACTGAAAGTTACTGTATGAAACAAGATAAAACTTAATTAATGTTATACAACATCGAATCGGTTGTTGATTTTTTACTTTCCATACGTTTCTATGGACCAATTGGAAGTTCGATATTTCATTTATATAAGAATGTATAGGAGGCCCATGATGTTGCAAATTAATTAATTGTGTAGTCAGTGCCTCATCTTACGAAGAATTGTCTGTACTGCATGGAAAGTAAACAACGACTCATCATAGATCACTCCTGTTAGTAATACCAACACTGCAGCCTCCCAGGTTATATTGTTTTATTGACCTTATTACATACCATAGTAAAGTTTTCTTTCTGCTTGTTGTATCAGATACTCAGATTACAGTGAAAGGAAAGTAGATGTTAGTTCTCCCCAGAACTTCTTGTAAATGTATTATGTTTTATTTTTAGCAACCAGGGAAATTTTCAATTGAAGAATTTGAAGCTGTTGGAACGATCAATGGGGTTCCTGCACATGAATTCAATTTGGATTCACTTGAAGACAAACCATGGAGGAAACCTGGAGCTGACATAACAGGTTAAGAGAACCAGAAAACTGCGTACTGTATTTATATGTTGTGTGCTTAAATACTATTTTTTCTTCATACTGGTAGTGAGATAAAATATGTCTTTAATTTCTAAAACTCTAGATTACTTCAATTATGGCTTCAATGAAGAGACATGGCGAGCCTATTGTGAGAGGCAGAAACGAATTCGTATCCACGAATCTGGTGTGGGTCTTGCTCAGATTGGAGGTCAGACTGCTGGAAGAGGGACTATCCCTGTTGCAATTACTAATGACAACTCCAAGTACTCTGGTTTTATGGGACCTAAGAAGGCAGGACCTCCTCCAGGGCGAAAAATGGGAGGTACTATTGATGTCATAGGTGGTGGAGGATTGGCTTCAAGGCGGAATTTGGAGAAGGGAACACCACCCAAAGAGAATGTCATTCAGGTGACAGCCATATGAATGGTTGATTCATATAAATGGGAATTTCCAGTCTGACACTTAAGAACGATGTAGATGGTGATAAAATAGTTTAACGAAGACCTCTTTTTGCTGGATTCTTCTAGGTGATGACTGCAGATCGTCGTGAGTACAGTCGGAAGCCAGCTTTCCCTGATATGTCTGTGCCCCCTCCAACTTCAGGTATCCCTCAATTTGAATTACCACCTCCTCCACATGGTGTTATCCCACCCACCTTCCCTCCACATATAGACTCCTATGGATCTGAGTTTTATGCATCCGAGGCTGACCCTTATTATCATTCATATGAACCTACGCAGGACTGTCAGTGGAACGACCCTGTGAGTACTCATTAGAATATTAATAACCCCCACCTTTTAGATTTATGTTTCTATTATCTGCACTGACAAGTCCCCAAGCTAGTTTAAATTCTGTTTGTAAAATGTTACTATCACTATTTCTGCCTGCAATTTTTTTACTTTATGTATTGTTCCCATGCTCCCAGTTCCTTGCTGAGCAGCGCTGAAGGCTGGGGGAGCAATCCATGTTTTCATTGGAATAAAATCTACATTTGCAAATAAGTATTATTTTGAGTTGCTAGTGTATAGGCATTCACACGTGTATTTGGGGGTAGTTTAAAGGGGATATTTGAATGAATTGAAAATCAATGTTTTCAAGTTTACAGACCTAACCAACCAAGAGTATACTCAGGGTTGGTAGTAAAATGGTTAATGATCGTGCTATTGAGACGCATCTGTTTGCAAATGGAAATAGTATCACTGTTTTAGAATGTCAAAGAAAATAATTCCAATTAAAAAAATACTATATTTTCTCAAATGTTTGAAAGGGAAGAAAACTATAAAGATATGTAGTGGGACAGTCTACACAACAATAATTCTAAAAAAGACAAAGTAGGTACTACTGTATCAACATTTGTTTTAATGGCTGTTGGTGGTAACACTACATATTTCAGCCAGTGCTAGTACTAGCACCAGTATTCTTGTACGCCTGAAGATGACCCAGGAAAGGGTTAAAACATGTAGCATTATCTTCAACAGCTAATAAAACAAATATTGATACAACTATTTTGTCTTTTTCAGAATTAGTGGGGGCAACATTTCAGAGAGAACAGGATGAACTGAATATCTATTAAAGGGATTCTGTTATGTTCAGTCAGATGAGCTCATCAGATTAATACTGAAAGAAACTTGCTTGAGCAAGGGCCTACAGAAATTATGTGACATTTCTTTTATGAATATACTGTGACTTTCACAGTAAGGAAGTATTTCAAAATGTACACATTCAACTTTGAAGATTCATATACTTGAGTTGGCTTTGTGTCTTCAAAGTAAATGTGTCCCTTCACTTCACTAATTAATTAAGCACCACACCATGAATATGTATGGGGGAGTAGACATATGGATCCACATATTTTTAGCCTTGGCACTAGCTGGAGTAGAGTTGTCAGCTTCACTCCCCAGCTACTTTATCCATGTGGAAAGAAGTTCTTCCTGGAGACTGAATAGGCCCCAGCACTGATCTTAATGATTTTGAGAAGAGAAAAATCTCTTTGACACTGCCATGAATCAAATCCCGATCTACCCCATAGCATGTCACTATACCAACTGAGTCTTCAAAGTAGTTGTGCACTGTTACTACATAATGTAAATGAATGTCTCAATTCTTGGGAGCTTCATCTGCTCATATAGATACTAGTAGAGCTTTGAGGTGTTCTTTAGCATAGAATTTTAATTTGGGGTGTCACATTAAAGAGAAATGTTCGGAAAATATGCATGTAATTGTAATTGAGAAAAATCTTTTCAGACCTGGCAGCCAACAGCTATGCCAGTATCATCAGCAGATGTGAAAATCATCACCCCAGGGCCCCTGGTGACACCCCTACCACCAGTCATTCCTCCACCTACAAACAGTAATGCTACTCTTGGGTCAGAAACTACAAACCAGGATTCTCAAGATGAGTTCAGCTCTCGAGGCTCAGTCCGAGAACACTCTGATGACGTTGCTGCTCCAGGCGCCTCTTCAGGAACTGCTGTTTCAAGTGTTGTGGTACCAGGGTTATCTATCAAAGAAGAACCAGGTCTGAAGGAGGATCAGTTGGCAGCATCCGAAAAAGAAGCCAGAGAAAGGGCAAAGGATCGGAGTGAGCGCCCTGAGAAATCTGAAAGGCATCGTGACAGGTGGGTGTTATATGTTCAAAGAAATCAGAGGACCATGTTGGGTGGGTTCCTTGTCACCAGTGCATGGTGTGACCTCAGGTTACATATGGAGGAGATGAACTTCAGATACAGAGGTTAGCTATGAATATATTGAATAAGTAGTCACGGACATCCAACAAGGGGTGGCCTTCCAGCTTGGGGGTTGGGCGTGGGGCTAACAACTCCTCACCATAAACTATAAGCTTGTTACAAAATGTCACAAAGGCCCTCGGATGGATTCTTCGGATAAACAACCTACGCTAAGGAAAATGGACATGAGATTTGGTACATGGATTGTCAGAAGTCTGTATAGGGCAGGTTCGCTCATGACACTTTTGAAAGAAATATCAAAATGTATTTTTCAATGAATGCATCCTGTTGTGTATCATATATTATTTCTTACTGAAAACCATCACAACAGAACATCAAAAACACTTGTAAGCAGCTCTAGAAGATACCTTTGCTACATGTTTCGGCCTTCGATAAGGCCATCATCAGGCAAATACATTAAACATTTCGTTATTGAATTGCATGTTAAATATAAGTTGCAGTGCTAAACTTCCAAGTATATACAATGGTATAAAATGATATGAGTGAATACTGTGATGTGGATGGGCAATGGGGAGTCATGTGAATATACAAATATAAATTACAATAAAAGTTAAAATCTTAAATGATCAGTTACACAGTCAACAGTATAGTTAAAAATTGTATATGCGATGTACTTGGAAGTTCGTAGTTGCAGTCGTAATACATGTAATACTTATACAGACATATGACGCACAATGGACCAATAACTGGTCTAAGTGCATGGGAAACCCACCCCCTCTAATAATAATAATAATAATAATAATAATAATAATAATAGTAATATATGGACATATTATATACTCAATAGCTGATATGGTGTTCAGAGGCCCGTTGTTATGCTGTATGTTATTGCTTAATATTTGATACTATTTGATGGGCAACTCCACTGTGTAAATGTCCAGTTTGATGGATAGATAGATTGTAATCCATCTCTCCATCAAATCAGACATTTACACAGTGGAGTTGCCCATCAAATAGTATCAAATATTAAGCGATAACATACAACATACGAGTAACCACGGGCCTCTGAACACCATATCAGCTATTGCGTATATAATGCGTCCATATAAGTATTATATGTATTACGATTGCAACTACCAACTTCCAAGTACCATCACATATACAATTTTTAACTATACTTTTGACTGTGTAACTGATCATTTAAGATTTTAACTTTTATTGTAATTTACGATGGGGTACCCAAAAGAAACAGAACTAATATTTTTGTGAGCAGAGCTTTTGTAGTACCGCGTTTTGCCGCTGTGAGCGCATAGAGCTAACATTCCTGAGTCAATAAGCTGACTACCGTTGCTTCAGAAGGTAAGGACTAGTTTCGGCAGAGTTTATAGTGACAACTGTTTTGTGTGAACGTCGTTTTTGCAATGGCTGATTTTTGTGTGGCGATGAAATTCTGCTTTTTGCTTGGGAAAAGTGGAACAGAAACTCTTGAAATGTTAAAAACGGTGTACAAGGACGATGCTATGGGGAAAACTCCAGTGTTTGAGTGGTTTTCCCATTTCAAAAATGGTGAAATGTCAATTGATGACAAACCTCGTTCTGGTCGTCCTTCCACGGCCCGAACACATGAAAATGTTGAAAAAATTCGTGAAATCATCAAGGAAGATCGACGACGGACCATTGAAGAAATTGTGGAGGTGTCGGGAGTGACTTGGAGCAGTCGGGTGACTGGTTTTTCCATCATGACAATGCCCCTGCTCACACAGCCCTGTCTGTACGACAATTCTTGACCAAAAATGGTATGACCCCTGTTCCTCACCCTCCATACTCACCCTACCTTGCCCCGTGCGACTTTTTTTTGTTTCCTCGAATGAAAAGAGAGATGAAAGGAAAGCGTTTTGCTGATGTTGCTGAGGTGAAGGATGCTGTCAAGCATCTCAAAAGATGAATTTAGACAATGTTTTGAAAAATGGAATAAAAGACTAGACAAGTGTATTAGTGTAAGTGGAGAGTACTTTGAAGGGGATTGAAGGTTTGTGCTTAAAATTTGAATAAATAAGTTTAAAAAAAATAAGTTCGGTTTCTTTTGGGTACCCCCTCGTATATTTGTATTCACTCGTATCATTTTATACCATTGTGTATAATTGGAAGTTTAGCACTGTGACTTATATTTAACATGCAATTCAATAACGAAATGTTTAACGTATTTGCCTGATAATGGCCTTATTGATGGCCGAAACATGTAGCAAAGGTATCTTCTAGAGCTGCTTACAAGTGTTATTGATGTTGTGTTGTGATGGTTGTATGTTAGACTTAGTGGGAGCCAGATGGGACAGAGGCGGCAAAGAATCAGCAGGTGAGTATACATTTTTATTTGGTAAGGGAAATGAGAATTATGAATTATGTACAGGTTCTTTGTACATATGAGAATCATAGCAATTAGGAGGGTAGAGTTTGTTAGTGATAGAATGTTGTACATAATAGTGGATGCTGGTGTGATATCAGTGTTCAGAATGTTCATGCCCCAACAGAGGATAAAATTGATGACTTGAAGGCAGCTTCTACAAAGATATGGAACAAATTTTCAGTAAATACCACATGAAAATTTTGTTAAGAGATTTTAATGCCAGAGTAGGTAGGGAAGACATTTTCAAACAAACAATTGGGAATGGGAATTCACATGAAATTAATAATGATAATGAAATTGGAGTTTTAAACTTTGCCACTTCCAAAAATCTGACTGTCAAAAATACAATGTTCCCACATCGTAACTTTCCAAATTTTACTTGGACAACTCCAGATGGAAAGACCCACAACCAAATTGACCATATTTTCATACACAGGAGATGGCATTCAAGTATGCTTGATGTCCGATTGTTCAGGGCAGCAGATTGTGATACTGACCACTATCCGGTGGTGGCTAAATTTAGGAAGAGACTGGCAATGAGTAACCAAGCAACGCAAAGAGTTCACACGGAGAGGTTCAATCTCAAGAAATTAAATGAGTTAAGAGGGTAAGGAGAATTATCATGTTGAAATCTCAAATAGGTTCACAGGTTTGGGAAACTTACGCTCTGAGGCGGATATTAATAGAGACTGGGAAACTATTAGAGAGAATATTAAAATTTCAGCTAAATAGATTCTAAGTTATTTTGAATTGAAGAAGCATAAGCCATGGTTTGACAAAGGATGCTCAAAATTATTAGATCAAAGGAAACACACCAAGTTGCAGTGATTACAGGATCCAAGCGCATCAAATGGGGTTAATCTGAACAGCATAATTCATGAAGCCAGCAGGAATTTTAGGAATAAAATAAGGGAATATCTGAAAGACAGAATTGATGAGCTTGCAATGAACAGTAAGAACAATCACATTAGAGACCTGTATAGAGGAACTTAGAAGCAGTCTAGAAATAACTTTGTGAATGATGGGAATGGGTGTCTGCTTGCAGATTCCCACAGTATTTTGAATATGTGGAAGAACTACTCACAGCTACTGAATGCAGATAGGATCAGTGATATTAAGCAGATAGAAATACACATAGATGAGCTGTTAGTACCAGATCCTATTCCTTTTGAGGTTGAAATGGCTATTGCAAACTTGAGAAACTATTGGCAGGACTCATTGAAGTAGGAGGTGAAACATTACGGGTTGAGATCCATAAACTCATTAATTCTCTTTGGAATAAGGAAGAAATGCCTGATCAGTGGAAGGAGCCTATTATTGTACCATTTTGTAAGCAGGGTAGTAAAACTGACTGTAGTAATTATCGTGGCATATCACTGATATCAACTTCATACAAAATTTTATCTAATATCCTTCCCTCAAGCATAAGTCCATATATAGATTAAATTATTGGGTATTAGCACTATGGGTTTCAAAGTAATGGATCAATTACAGATCAGATTTTTTTTTCATTTGTCTGTCTGCTGCTTGTGAAAAACTTGGGAGTACAATGAGATAGTACATCAGCTATTCATAGACTTTAGAGAGCCTATGATTTAGTTAGGGGGAAGTATACAGTATTCTTATAGAGTTTGGGGTACCCATAGAATTGGACCGGTTAAAACGAGTTTAAATTAAATATACAGGGTGTTTCACGACTTTAGGGCATAACTGCAGGAGGTGATTTCCTAGGTCTTTGTGATCAAAAAAGTTCATGTAGTTACTATAGGATTCTGACGATGGTGTATAACACACTGATATGTTGGGTTTTTGGACTTTATCCATCGTCCTGGTTTTTAAGATAACAAATAAAAACACAGCGTTTCGGAAACTGGATCTGTTTCCGTCCTCAGGTGAAGGAAAAACACCTATTCAGTTGGGTCCGTTAGAAAGGTCCAGTGATTGAGGCTAGCTCTTTCTAACGGACCCAACTGAATAGGTGTTTTTCCTTCACCTGAGGACAGAAACAGATCCAGTTTCTGAAACGTCGTGTTTTTATTTGTTATCTTAAAAACCAGGATGATGGATAAAGTCCAAAAACCCAACATATCAAAAAAGTTCATATAAACATGTTTCCGATTTTGGACGGTTACGGAGTTATGTCTGTTTTAAACTCAGAATAGAAGGTAACGATTACGGACAATAAACAGAACAAAATAATAAACCAGCATAATACATGATACAGTGAAAGCATGAATGTAAAGTTAACTTCGTGAAATTAGCTTTAATTTGAATTGATTGGGGCTTAAAGCTGATTTTTGAAAATGCCACCGCCGTCCGCAACACAGGTTGCCACTCGGTTGTGAACCGTGCTGGACATACTCAAGTGTCGAGATAACGAGAATGCTCTGTCTGTAGCTGGCTAAAAATAGCGACCTGCCAGTTGACAGATGCGGTTCATACGAGGGCATGTACAGGAATGAAAGAACGGTCATAACTCAGTAACTGTCCAGAATTGGACATATGTTTATATGAACTTTTTTGATCACAAAGACCTAGGAAATCATCTGCAGTTATGCCCTAAAGTCGTGAAACACCCTGTATAGCAAAGTTTGTGTAGGTAAACATTTGTCTGTTAATTTTCTTATCCAGATTTTTCTAAAACAAGGAGATGGATTTATTGCCACTGCTTTTTGACTTTTCTTTAGAATATGCCAGTAGGAAGGTCCAGGAAAACCAGGTAAGACTGAAATTAAAAAGGGACACATCAGCTGTGGGTCTGTGCTGATATAAATCTGTTGGGAGATAACACAATTACCATAAAGAAAAACACAGGAATTGGAGTTGAAATTTAGTAAGGAGGCTGGGCTAGAAGTAAACACAGAAAGTTCCCAAACTGTTATTGCTGTAACTGCCACGGTGAGAAAAGATGAGAAGGAAGGCCAGGGTCACACTTCTGCAAGCCTGTTGCATCAGTCTGCCACGTGACACTGCGCTGTGAATATGCATTGTTTTTACATGAGTGCTTTTATGACTTCATGTTTCATTTTATCTATGATGGATGGCAAAATCGAGCAATGTGTCTGCATCAAATTTGGTGTGAAGCGCGGTAAATCTGCTACTGACATCCTTGTAATGCTTCATGAGGCTATGGGAGAACATTCTTTAAGTTGGACAGCAGTTTTTGAATGGCATTCATGTTTCAAGGCCGGTCAAGTGTCAGTTGAAGATGATGAACATTCAGGGCTACCAAGCACCAGCAAAATGACAGAAAATGTTGAAACATTTCGAGAACTCATTCACGAAGACCATCGCTGAACAATCCATGAGCTCACAGATACTGTTGGGATCAATTATGGAGTTTGCCAAGAGATCTTAACAGCAAATTTGAAAATGCCTTGCCGTGAAGTTTTTTCTTCAGCTTTTGACAAATTATCAAAAGCAGTGGTGTGTAAACATGTGTCTTGAGCTGCAAGAAAATTGTATTTACAGTTATGATCCAGAAACAAAGCAACAGTTGTTGCAGTGCAAGAGCCCACAGTCACCAAGAGAAAAAGAGGTGTGGCAGGTCCAGAGTTGAACAAAGAGCATGTTCATGCTCATTGTTTTTTAAACATGAAACACTGTGAATTTTTTCCTCCTAACACTTCGGTCAACTCTGACTTTATACCATGGTGTGTTGAGGCACTTGAGAGAAAATGTGAAATGAAAAAGACCAGAATTTTGGCGCAGTCACAACTGGCTCCTTCATCATGACAACACCCTCGCCCTCACGTCCCTGAAAACCACAGGGTTTGTGACTATCAAGAACATGGTTATAGTTCCCCATTCTCCCTACTTGCCGGACATAGGCCCCTGTGATTTTGCTTTGTTTCCCAAATTGAAAATGAAACTAAAGGGACAACGTTTTGAAACAGTGTCTGACATCCAAAGGGAATCATAAGCAGTACTCAACAGCATTAAGGAAAATGACTTCCATTGTGCTTCTGAAGCATGGAAAAAATGATGGGATCACTGTATACGTTCCCAAGGAGACTATTTTGAAGGAGATGGCAGCCAAAATTGAGTAGTTAAGCCAGCATTTCTTTTTGACATAGTCTGGGAACTTTCTGATAGAACCCCGTATGTTGATGTCTTCTCACCAGAATACAGGAAAAAATCATAATATAAAGATCATTGACAGATCATTTGAAAATGTGGCAAAGTTCAAATATTTGGAAAAAAACAGTAACAAATCAAAATTTGATTCAGGAGGAAGTTAAGAGGTGGTTGAATTCGGGTAATACTCACTACCATTCAGTCCAGAACCTTTTGTCTTCTTGTCTGCTATCTAAAAACATAAAAATTAAGATTTGAACAAATTAATTTTTCCTGTGGTTTTGTATGGGTGTGAAATTTGGCCATTAAGGGAGGAACTTAGAGTGAGGGTGTTTGAGAGCAAGGTGCTGAGGAGAATATCTGTGCTGAAGAGGAATGAGGTGATAGGAGGTTTTAGAAAACTACATAATGAGGAGCTTCATAACTTGTACTCTTCGCCAAGTGTAATTTGAATGACCGTGTCAGGGACGATGAGATGGGCAGGGCATGTATCGCAAATGGGGAGAAGAGGAATGCATATATGATTTTGGTGGGAAAGCCAGAAGGAAGAGACCACTGGGCAGACCAAGATGTAGGTGGGCGGATAATATTGTCATGTATGAAGGGTTGCATGATTACTAATAATGGCTTCTGGATTGGATTTATTGCTGTCTTCTATCACAATTACAACCAATTATATCAGCTCACAATCAATGACTGCTTAAGACTCGCTCCATCCCTTACTGGACTACGAGGGTCTTTTTCCACTTTGATGGACTTGTTCTGATTAATGAATTGGTCACTTCTTCAGCTTCTGTTGTCCACTGGTTAACACTCCACACCCAGACACCCCTCTATTGAACTGCCTTCTGGATTTTCTTATGAAAATGAAGTACCTACGAATGAACTGAACTGAACTGAAATCTAATCATTTCATGTCCTCATTTTATAACTTTTGGGGGAGCCAAGTAGAGATCACCACTTCTAACAGTTTGGGTATTATTGCATGCCTATACGTTGTCATGGATAGGTGTTTTAGTGAGCCATTGTCTACAACTGGACTATTCCGTGTCTGTCTGTTGCCGCATGATTGTCTGTTAATTTCGTAACGAGCTGTTATGTAGTAATGGACTGTTCCAGCTTTTAGGCATCATGTCAATATTATCATGTGGTTATGGCTTTATGGGTTTTGGATTGGACAGTAGGATTTATTAACACCTTCTTTTACAATCACTTTTGATTGCAATCAATTACAGGAGCTCCACAATCAGTGACTGCCTAAGACTCACTCCATCCTGGCTGGACTGTGACTCGTCTTCTCTTCTGTTCTGTCTTCTGCTGTGAATGACTTCAGATGTATGAATGCTTTGTTGTTATCTGAATGGCTGCTTATATAGTCTAGTGGTATTCATGGAAAATGTTTGTTGCATGTGTGTATCCATGGTAGTGTTTATTGAATGTTCGTTTACATGGAAATTTTTGTTGTACTGAGTTGGCCTCTAGGAATCCACCTCCATGGAAATGTTTTGTACTGAGTTGTTTCCTAGAAATGGCCTACATGTCATGATATTAAAACTGGATCATAGATGGGATAGGGTGGTATGGACTGGATTGATTTGACTTGGGAGAGGGACCAGTGGAGGGCTCTTGTGAACACAGTAATGAACTTCAGGTTCCATAAAAAGTTGTGAAATTCTTGAGCAGATATGCAACTGGGAGCTGTTCAAGAAGGGCTCAATTCCATGAAGTTAGTCAGTTAGTTACTTAGCTACTTAGCCAGTTAGAAGTAAGAGGAATAATATTCTTATGGGTCTTAACACAATAACTGTTTTCATGTGGATATCATTTAAGGACTGATTTTATATTAATACTATTGAACCCATTGTCTATCCTGTGCAGTCAGTCCCCAACATAACTTTTTGATTTTGGTATGAACTATTTTTTATAGATCTCATCGTCATCGGTCACGAAGTCGTAGCACAGAAAGGCGTTCCCGGCGTCACAAAAGCCATAGCAGGAGTCCTGGACATCGTCATCGCAAAAAGAAGTCACGCAGATCAGACCGAGAAAAGAGCAAGGAAGAAAGTGAATGATAATGGACTTTTACTCATATGATTATATAGTGATCATTTAACAACTTCTTTTTCTCCTGAACTGTTGTTCAGCTTTCCAGCTCTCAATAAACATTGATGCAGTAATTTTAAGTTGATATGTTCCTTGCCACCATCACATATTCTCATGGTCATGCAGGTAAGCTTGTAGCTGGACTCTTGAACAAATAAGAGAGGACTACTTCAAACTTTCTTTGTGAGTTACTGTCCATTTTGCTGAAATATGCTGGTAAAAGTGTTTATGCTTCTGAGGTCTGAACTGAATTATTTTTCTCAAATTATGTGTTTTCTTTCCATTAAAATGTATTTTGTCACTCTAGGCCTCCTCTACGGGGAGCTGGGGCATGCATGAGCAGTAGAGGCAAGTTTGAAAGAGTCTGTGTTCATTTCATGAGCTGTCTTACTTTGACATTTGCTTTGTAATATGAATTGTATATGAATTCATTGTATTGCTGTATGGAGAACGAATGTTTCTGATCATGTTACTTCTCTGCTAAGTGAGTCAGTGGAAGAAATCACCTTTTTTACTGCAGTGGCCTCCAAATCATGTAATTAATTATGCTTTCTGTAGAAACATCAGTGACACTGAATTTCTATCGTTTGGATGGTTCTTGTGTGAGTTCATAGGGACAAAAAATCCAGGGATTCTTTAATCATCACAGTTCCAGTGAATGTTACATGTGAGTACTGGTGATTTTAAGCCACAGCTATTATACCTGATACTGTTAGGTTATGAGTTATTAATTTTACAGCTGCTCCAGATATGGAAATGAAAGGTGCAAAAGGAGGATATTTTATTAAGAAAGTAAAGCATCCCTGTACCAGGCCGCGAAGGCCCATAGGGTTGCGAGACATTGAGGGTCCCACATTGTCTAGACGATCAGCTCAAAGATGGCAGTAAGGTTGTCAGCCTTACGTGCTGGCCGCACTTTACTCCCCAGGAAAATTATTTCATTAATACCTGGTACTCTTTTCTGTTAGAGGCTGAGTAAACCCCAGGGCCATAGTGCGGCTGGAAGGGTTAGGTCAGTTGAAAAAATCGGGACTTGAACCCGCGACCTTCCGACTTGTAGCATAGCCCCTCAACCAACTACGCTATCGTTGCCCCTGGATATTTTATTATTCATGGCAAAAATATGTTTGCTGCTTGTCAAATGGGCTGGTGAATTCATTAATATATTTATTTCTGTAAGTTGCAGTTCTGGTCTCTTTCAGTGCAGACATGAGCAAATATAACCTGACACGATAGAGAATCACCATCATGAAAAGTTAAACAGTTCCATCCAGTGTGACTGGTGAAGATTTTTCTTATGTAGGTGAGTCAAATGAAAACCGCAAAACTGAGATAAAAATTCAAAATATCGCACCATTGTCCTATAAGTTGGCAGACATGTTACCAATGCTATAAAGAGTATCCTATAGGTGGCAGTATAATGCAGACAAACAGAACGCCATCACATTGCTGGTTTGAAGATGGCTGCTCCAATATGTACATGCACGAAAGAAGAACAACGTTCTGTAATTGGGTGCACTACCACCAACTGGAAACAAAGAGAATGAGCCAGGAATGACGTCATTCCTCATCACCCAAACCCAAGAAGTTCTGGATGCAGCCATCTGCGGGGAAGATTATGCTGACTCTCTTTTGGAACGAACAAGGTGTACTCTTGGAGCACTACATGCCTTGGGGGAACACTATCACCAGTGCCTCATATTCAGATCTCTTGAGGAATCATATTCGACTTGCAGTCAGATCAAAGCGACGTGGTCTTTTGACTAGAGGTGTCCTTTTCCAACATGACAATGCTCGGCCCCATACTGCCCATGCAACAGTTGCAACAATCCAAGACTTGCATTTTGAGTGTCTTCCACATCCACCATACTCATCAGACCCCCATGTGATTACCACATGTTTGGGCCACTCAAAGAGGCGATGGGAGGAAAGAAGTTCCATTCTCATGAAGAGGTACAGCAGGCGGTGCATGAGTGATTGCGCAGACAACCACAAGAATTTTTTTCTAGAGGAATCCATACACTTTGTAAATGCTGGAGGGCCTGTATTGGACGAAATGGAGACTAGAAAAATGATGTAGTTGTGTACCGCTTTCATTCTTTAAATTATATTTAAAAAATTTTTTACTGTTTTCATTTGACTCACTCTCGTATTTCAATTATTTATGCCCTTACATGCTTTGGTCTTTAGAGACCATCATCAGAGGTACACCTTTACATCGATACAGTTGGAGACTACTATATTTGTTCTGAAAGTTAAAATGTATACATACGAGTATGAAATAATACACAATTGGGTATAAAATCTAAAGTCTTTACAACTACTTCAGCTGTTCCAATATTTTAAAATATTGTAACGTGTTTTCGTTACTGAATACGCCGTAGAGATCGTTAACTGGTTTATTGAACAATCTACAAATAACGGCTACAATTAATGATCACAATATTACGGGTTTCCACACTTTACAAACCCTACAACACAATCTCTTAACACAATCTTCACTTGTCTTCACGTACTGATTACGCGGGAGCTATACAAGTCTCCCTGAAATACACACTCTGAGTATAACCGTACTACAGCAATCACTATGTCTGGAAAGCACACAACAAGTCTTCCGCTCGCTGACTTCTTAGTTATCGCACCCTCGCAGGCTGCTATGTTTCAACTGATCATCACACTGCTGGGGGTCCGCTTATATAGCCTTGCGCTGTTGCTAGTGTGACGTGGCGTATAGCATAGGACGCTGTTGCTAGCGTGACGTCACCGCTGTTGATTAGCATTGCGTAGTTGCCAGGTTACGGGGCTCGGCTATCTTCGGCTCCGCTCGTGACGTCACCGCGCGTTGCGCATTGCGGGGTGATTACTCGCGTATTACGCGAGCGTTACGTTACCGCTGAGGGGTGGGAGGGGAGCGCTGACTCACCCGCCGCGTCACTGCTGGTGTGGGGGGGGGCCTCGGCTTTTCGCACATGTCACAATATTTATAACTGGTTAAGACTATTTGAATTCGTAAACCAAGCAGGTTCATGTTGTCCCTCTTATAATTTCTCTAGACGGGGTGGAACATGTGCTGCCTCGTTGTTCTTGAGAAGAGGGTTCTTTGATGTTGTCCTGTGTATGTTTTTGGCATGATGTTATTTTTAAAAACAACGTAACGTTTCCGCGAACAAGCATGTTTCCACGGCAGTAATGAAATTTTTTTTTTTGTGCGGTCTGTGCCGAGATGTTATAAGCAGGACAGTTAATGAGGAGTCAGTTAGTCAAGTTAGTGAGGCAAAGAGTTTATTGGTGAGTTAGTGAGTTAATTGGATAAAGTTGGATGAAGGAGCCTTACATACATTTATTGCACACAGAATTTGTAAGTACCTCGGCGCACACAAAATCGATAGTACTAAAAACATGAAGGTGATATCTCTGGATATAGTAGTCATTAGTATCTAGACACTAACGTTTTTGCGTTGTGTTGGTCGTGTACCCGTCGGGAGTGATGAACGTCATGTAAATGGAAGAAGAGGCGCAGAGTGAGGTAATAAAACACCTCTACCACACTGAGCACGCTACAGCCAAGGAAGAAAGCTGCAGCTCCACCGAATGCCACTGGAATTTGAACACAGGTCAATTAAGGAAATGAGTCATGAATCTGTTTTATGATCAAATACATGACCCTGAAATCACATGAGCCCAATTTTTATTACATCATTTATCCTAGGCAACAATGAGTCTTATGCCCGCACTTAGTAACTAGAGGATCTGTTTGTAGGTGGGAGGGTTATTTTTTTACAGACCTTAACCAGAGTGTATGGTGGTGGATTGAATTAACTGGTCCTATTAGAAGGCCCAATCACAGGTCCTTGTTAAATGATAATTAATTCTTGTGCTCCCTAAGATATGGAAATTTCTTTATCCATTTCACTTAACTATCAGCTCTTAAAGGGAAGCCTGCAACATTGAGTTAGCTATAGTGAACAGCAGTGAAATGAGGATAGACCTAGGAAATAGTGAAGATGGGTTATTATTCATGTGTTAATATAGAAGTAAGAGGGACATCATAGTTCATACAATGAAGTTTATATAATTATTGTCGAGGTGAAATATTAAGCAAAAAGTTCCAGGTGAAAATCACAAGACCTGTTCCTTTTAAAGTAAACCTGACTTTGACTTTTGGAAAGGACTGTCAGTGACTGAGGACGCAATAGTCAGTGTCTCCCTTCTTACCTCAGAACGTAAACAGATCTAGTTTCCAAAACATCGTGCTCTTTAGTTTTTAGAATAGAAGAGGATGGACAAAGTAAAAAAAAACCCAGTAATTCTGTGATGTTTATGATTTTTCTTTATATAAGGTTTCGAATTCCTCACTGTAATGATTCTCTAGTTATCACCATCAGACAACAGACAACAAGGCAATCTCATAAGCCTCCTTTTGTCTGTTTTTTTTTTTTCAAAATGAAGTGGGCTGTAATGAGGCTAGGACGTGAATCACTGACTTACTATGAGTGGAAAATAAATCCAGGAAAACTAGCCTTCGAGGATGTTATTATATAAAAACAAAGAAAATACAGACAAATTTCTCCCTAACCCTGTGAGAAATAAAACTCTCGTACATATTGTTTAAAAATTCTGTTTCTGACTCCAAGAAAACACATCGCACTACCAATACAAGTAGACCTAGATGCATTCTCGTTATACAAATGTTCCACTTATGCTGAAAAATGGCGGAAATCAAAAAGATTCTTTGCGGACCATACACCGATATGTGAATGCTGAAGCAGATGGAGAGTACATAGCTACGATTGCTTTGCAGAGCGTCAAACTTTAAAAAGCTTATTAAAAGAGAGCATGAAAAATGAATAACTACTAACTGTGTGTGGCGAGGCTACCAAGAGTTCTAACAAAATATATGTGACCATTTCCTTGAATAATTTTCACTGCTGCAGATTCAGACTGTTTTACATGTGTGAGATATAACGTTAAAGATTTGCAGTTCTTCGCAGAATATCTTTCTTGCACTCATAAACTGCCTTTTCGTAAGGTACTTAACGGGTGATCCAAGTAATTTTAAAATTTACTGCCATGTCCGCAACATAAGCATTGCCAGTCTTACACATTTGTTTGTAAAACAAGTCCCTAAGCCTAACCGTATGTTTTGTATGATTCATCTACAAATTAGGAAATTAAATAATTAAATATTCCCAGATATTCTTATAAAAATAAAATGTTAAAAATGATACGTACTTTTTGGATATCGAAAAATTAAATAATCGAACTTTACGATCGATATTTTGAAAATTTCAGAATATTTCACTACGTACCAAGCATGTCAGGTAATGTAAATAGGATGTCTCGCTTCATTCTGACGGTTGGGTAGTTCTCCACCTGAAATGCGACAGCAGTGTTGCCAAAATCTGCAGTCCTGCAACAGAAGTTTGTGCAGTCGGTCACTACATGTTTCATTAGTAAGTTATTTTAGTCATATCTCATCATATATCTGATGCTGTTCTCAGTTCATTAAGACTAAAGAAAGAACTACAAATTTACCCACAAGGACACTTTTGTTTCACCTTTTGCTGGCTTTTAAACGCATCTGAAGAAGTCTTCTGTTCGCATGTAAAATATCATGCCTTACGTTGCTGTGCCAAAAGGAGTGTCGTGCATGCATTCCTTAGGTTGCCCCAGAGAGAGAAATAGGAAGAAATACATGACTAAGAGTGCGGTATCTTGAATTTGCAGACTATTATTTCCACGTAAATTTCCTAGCGTAGCCAACCACAAATTTTGGGTACCCCGAAGAGCTAATGAATCAGATATTCTTCGAGGTTTGGGGCGCAATTGTCATTTGTCGTTCTCATGAGTTCCCGTGCTCTGAGTGACTTTGTATTGCTCGTTGGAGTGGAATGTGTGTCAAGTCAAGTCGTCTGTTCAGTCGTCACATTTTGACATCTAAAATTTTCATTTCCTCAGATTCTATTATTATTGTTATTATACCACCGATTAATTACAGCTTGCCTTGCTCTTGGGGCAATAATTCTGTCTCTAGAATCTTATACAATTTGTAGGTAAACGTAAGTAGTAAAAAGTAACTAAAGGTATCCCTGTAACAGGCCATGGAGGCCCTTAGGGTTGTGAGATGTTGAGGTTCCCACATTTTCTAGACAGTCGGCTCGTAGATGGCGGTAAGTTTGTCAGCCTTACGCGCCGGCCTCCCTTTAACCCCCAAAATATTCCTGGTACTCATTTCTGTTAGAGGCTGTGTCGACTCCAGGGCCGTAGTGCGGCTGGAAGACAATTTGTAGGTTCTAACATTAATATTCAGTAATTCATTATCTGAGATGTATATAATAGTATAAAGTTTTGTCTTCGTACTTTATCTATTCCTGTCTTGGAAATATTTAAAATTTTTCCAAATGAACCTCTTTAGTATACAGTAAATGGCGTAAGCAACCTGTTTGACTTAATGCACCTGTCTTTGTGTATGTTTCGTTACAATTGTCTCCAGTCTGTAGTGTTATGTCATTTAAGCCCAACGGTACGTACTATCGAACCTTCCTCTTTCCTTGCGAAATACTCGTATGTCCCTTAAAACGCGTATATCTTGATAGAATCTCCATCTGTCCGCTGGCTGCACACGAGACACAAACTTGTATATATCCTACAAGAGTCATGTCTGTACATACTAAGAATGAGGTCTCAAATACGAGACTTGCTATGTATACTTCAGTTCTTCTGACGTTACACGACACTGAAACTGCCATTGCTGTTCTCACTCCATAAAGTCAGTGTTTCTGTAAGCTGTTTGAGATACACTTTTCATTTCTGTCGCCACATTCATCGACTTGATCCTGCGACGGGTTTTATTCCTCATATAAACACAATTAGAATAATTTTTAGAATAAAAAAATTAAAATATTCTTACTTGAGATTTCACCAAGAGTTAATTCATTGTGTCACACCTGATATACTATGTCCCGTACGGGAAAGATCTCTTATCGATGAAGTGTTCCTTGTATCACGCTGAAATTGTGTAGCCATTTACTGTAGGCCTAGTGCGTCTATGACGTCATACTCTGTAAAGTGTTGCATGTCATGACATTAGATTTGCTTATGTCTTTAAATTTTTAAAAAGTACTTTGTCCTTAGCTTGTATTTTCTCAGGAGGATGGAAAGGAAGGGAATTATATTTTGAAACCTAAAAATGGATTGCTAAGATACCATTAAGTCACAGAGAATACAAAATTTACAAAGATAGTAAAAGAAAATTCACTATGTAAATAATCCTTTCATTATATGCCAGTCGATTGACCTGCTATATCAGCAATGAATATTTTTGCTGCATAGTATTTTGAGACACGTGTATGCCCTAGACAGAATAATTAAGAACAAAAAATATTATTAATAAATTAGTCAGCCGTTTCCTCCGATCTTAATAATATTTGGTTTTTGAAGACTGTTGCAGTAGCTTCAGTGGTACACTGCTTGCGTTAGTGCTGTAATCTATAATAACGAAATAAATTAACATAAATTAATACCTGGACCAAAACATCGTTTTCCTTTTATTTTCTTTGTTAATAAACTGATTTATTTTAATTAATTTGCCTCTCCGAATATTAGACTTGTATTAAATATTGTGACATGTTGCGCAACGGAGGACCCCTACCTCCCCAGCGGCACGTGGTGGTAACCTAGCGCTCTCGTAATAGGCGAGTCATCACCCCGCCACTCCCCGCGGTGACGTGCCGAGCGGAGCCGAAGTGAGCCGAGCGGAGCCGAAGTTAGCCGAGTCCCCGCAACCTGGTAGCTATGCAACGCGAGTCAACAGCGGTGACGTCACCAAGGGATATCGCGGTTGCTAGGCAGCAGTCAACAACTCATGTAACGTGGCACGCAACAGGCACTACTGCGGCTATATAAGGGAACTGCACAGCAGCTGTGAGTTAGTTATAATGTGGCCATCGCCGAAGACAGTCCTCGAGCTACCTCCGAGTTAGTCAGCAACCAGTCAGTTGTATTCTGGCATTTGCAGTGTAGTATTTGTGATACTGCAGATAGCAGTAATTGTGAATCTGTAATTTGGGTGATTGTAAGTGCGAATGTGAAATAAAATTCGCTATATCAAATACGGCGTGAAGTTATTTGTCGCGTTATACACCAATACGTGACAATATATTAATATTTATGCGGGAAACAAATATCATTTTAAGTGACAAAACGAACATAACCAAAGCTGACTTAATGAAATGTAACTTCGTTTAAGGTAGACGGACCCACCTTCAGCATATCGTGAGCAAATGCGAAATTGTTCTGAAGTTATTCCCAAATCATATGATCCCAGTGAACTTTTTCCAGAATTTTTGTGTCATTATCTAGGTAGGTGTGTGCGGCTGTTCGGGCAACTACTACATAGAGAAAACTCAACTATGATTTCTGGCTGTTGTGTGCATTTTATGTGAAATATAAGCCAATTCAATAGGCAGACCACATATTCAGTCACACTTTAACGACAGCAGTATTCACAGTTTATTAAGTAGATCTGTATTGTTCGAAATTTTTACTTACGCTACTGCAAGCAAATGAAGATATGTTTAATTCTGGTCCTTTGAAATTTCTCTAATTTCTTTTCACAGGGAAAGTGGATACTTGGATCTTTAATTTCAGTTCAGGTTTTTTTCTTTCTTAACGGTATGAAGTCTGAAACTCATGCAAATTATATTTTCGGATCCAGATACTTCCTCACAGAAAACATTACGTATCGATTAAAGAAGAGCGTTCGTTTGTGTACCGTGAGAATCATAGGAAACACAAACACATAATCTGAGGGGAAATCATGCAGATCCTTATGGCGAAGCAAATGGCACTACAGAACTATTGCGATGTTTCATATTCATCATAGAATGATTCAGAACAGGACCTCTTCGAATAATAATGGGTACCGGGGGCTCTTTACCAGGGGTTAAAACGGCAGGGCGTGAAACTAACCGTTCACCTCCAGCTAGTGCCAAGGTCAAGAAAATATGGATCTATACATCAACGCCTCACATGACTTCATGGCGTAGTGCTTAATTAGTTAAGCACAGAGACAACGTTACCTTACCTCTTTTTTTCCTCGGCACTACAGCCCCAGTGGGCCTAGGCCTACCTCCTTTCACTACCTTACCTTTACCTCTTCAAATATTCCTCTGCTTTCTAAAGAACAGGAACGTGTTACGTATTTGGATTCTAAGATAGATGAATTGAAGTCAGGAAGGAAGCGGTCGTGGCCTACTGGAGGTATGAGCCCTAGACTTGGCTAAAAGGTCAGAGAAAAGACACAACATTCTCAGTCAGGAGAGTTAGTGTCCCGGTCGAGAAAAGGGCTGATGACTTCTCGAATAAAAGTCTAGAACATTCCTTCTAAACAGCTTCTTAGTTTTATATGTCAAAATGAAAGTGTGTACATGTAAAGTATGCAACAGTTGAACACATTGCAAATAATTTAGTTTAAATATTAAGAATGGAGGAATTACTTCGTCCATACATCATGTGTTCACTTGCATATTGCTTTGAGGTTACATATATTGGAAATATATTACTTAATTTATCTCTGTCGTTTTTAGACGGTATCACCAGATTTTGAATCGTTCAGTACGCACCCGTTAATAGTGTCAGTCTCCTCAATGGCGTACTCATCGCTCTCACAAGTCGGGTAGCACCCGCAATGGTGAGTGTTCTTGTCCTTCCTCTTGCCCACAGATGTAAGTGCCCCTGAAAGAAGACAACCGACTGTTAAATCGAATTATGTTTTAAGACTTGAGGTTCTCTTGGCGCTGAATGCGAACAGTCCTGTCTTGTGGAGCATCACGCTTTCTACACCGGTAAGGGGTCACTGGGTTCTTAGTGGCCTACGCGACATCACATCCCAGAAGTTCGTGCTCTTCAAATAATTTTGTGCCTCGGTCATGTGGTTAGTTCTAGAACTCAATAGGATTTCTATAAGCAATGAAGCAATTAAAATGTGCAACTAAAATACGTTGTTCTACGGGAGATGAAATATGCATAAAATTATCTTTATTTTCAAGTAAATCGTTGGAAAATGTGTGCTTAAGTTTGTGTATAAGATATATTTAAGAGAAATTGTTTCCAAGATCTGCACTTCAGAAGACTGCAACGTTTCACGTTCCTCCCCAAACGGGAAATTTGAATGCTATGGCAGGGGGAGGTAGGGACTGCCTCTATCGATTGGAGCCCAACTGAGTACGCTTTTACCTAGGACGGAAACAGTCTCCGAACCGCTGTTTTCAGTCAAAGAACAGGACAGTGGATGCTGTACAAAAAGCCAGTAATTGCATTGCAATGGCACTTGTACGCTAACGTAATCCGTGGGAGTCATTAGATGCGTCGAAACAGTCGACGAATAACATTAGACGTTACTCCTTACAGGAGTTGTCAGCTGGCTGGTTACAAGTAGAGTTGGTGAACAAGCATCTTTTCAAAACAAATGTGGATCGAAGCCCAGCGAGGAGCTTCCCGAAAAGAACATGTTCTGATGGTTGTGAGTTGCCATTCTTCGTTGTTTTGACCTCCAAGATTCACAGAGGGTGGAAGAATAATTGAAACATTTGAAATTGAGTAATAGGATTTGTTTCTGTTGGTTACACTGAAAGAACTTCAGTTGACAACAGTGAATGTTCTTCCCTTTGTTTACACTCTGTAGTGGTCGTGCAGTGCATTAGTGATTGTGTTGAATGATAGTCCGTGTGAAAGAATCGGAAAATGGGAAACTTGATTAGATTTTGAAGAAGGAAGATCGTTGATGCTCGTTTAGCTGGAGCATCTGCAACAGATACTGCTCAATATTTGGTGTATTGAGGGCAAAGGTTTCTGAGGTTATGTCGGCATGCACGAATCATGGGAAGACAACATCGGCGAAGAGGGACAGTGGACGAAAGTCAGCATTGAAAAGAAAAGATTGTCGTGAACTGAGAAGAATTGTTTCGAAAAATCAGACACAGAATTGAATATGGGCAACGTGAGTTTCACAAATCCCACATCCACGGTAGGGCTGCAATTGCTAAACCTCTGATTACTGAAAGCAACGCTCAGATGGGCAAACGGTGGTGCCACGACCATAAAACCTGGACAGTAGACAACCGGAAACGCTCGCGTGATATGGTCAGATGAGTCGTCCTACACGCTGTTCCCTGCACCAGGAAGAGTTCACGTTTGGAGAATGTCCAAGGAAGCCTACAATCCAGAAAGTCTGGTTCTAACAGTGAAACATGGGGGAGATTCTGTGATGGTTTGGACAGCAATATTGTGGTACAGTATTCTGTTGGTCCTATTATTACCCTTCATAGCCTAATTACCGTAAGGTTGAGTAATCAGGTGCATCTCAAGGTCCAGATATTATTTTGCGAACAGCTGTAACTGTTCAGTCATGGCTTGAAGAGCATGAAGGTGAACTTCAGCACCTTCCCTGGCCAGCACAATCACCAGATTTGAACATCATTGAACCACTGTGGTCAGTTTTGGCGACTAGACTGAGGAAGAGATTCCCACCTCCAACATCTCCAAAGCAACTTGAAGATGTTCTTCAAGAAGAAGGGTATAAAATTCCGTTAGAGACTGTTCAAAACTTGTAGGTGTTCATCCTCAAAAAGAATTACAGCAGTATTGAAGGCAAAAGATGGTCAAACACCGTGTTAATAAAGAAATGTATACAGTATCTGTAGTTAGACTTGAAAGGATTCTGACGATGGTGTATACTATACTTCTTTTTGGCTTATTTTGGACTTCACCCCTCATCTGGTATGTAAAAGACAAAACGACAAAAAACCACGACGTTTTGGAGATTGGATCTGTCTCCGTCTTCAGGTGGATAGGGAAGGATAAACCTACTCAGTTGGGCCCCTTAGAAAGAGCTAGTCTCAATCACTGGACAAACCCCGGTCTGTAGAAAAACAACCTATGAACAACCGACAACCGATTCCATCAGTGGGAGAAAAGAATAAAATCACAGTAAAAACATGACAGAAAATTTGTGCCAAGCATGCACTTGTCAACAATATAAAGAAACAGAAGTATAGGTTAAATTACATGAATTCAGTTAAAAACGAAAGTAAAAACTGGATAATGCATGCCTAATCTGCGTGGATAAAGAATCGTGCCTCCATGGCGACTTCCGGGAATCAGACTAATCCCCGGAACAAAACTTGCAGGAGTAGTGGAACCACTAATGTTCATAAAATTACATTTTTGATTTGTTAACCTCTTCACTGATGAGGGGGATCCATATGGGAGAAATATCCAAACTGGGTTGGCTGATCGGATTGGATGAACATGCCATATGAGGTGATTCTTTGTACTTTCTGTATCTGCTGCTACTTTCAACCTCCAAGATCCTAGCTTCATCCCAGCTTACCCTATGACCTTCTTCATATGCATGCTGAGCCAACTGGATTTCTCTAGAAGATTGTGCTTGAGATTGTGCCTGTGTTCACGGATTCGCACAGCCAGTGGTTCTCGGTCTTTTGTCTTTTACATACCAGACGATGGGTGAAGTCCAAAATAAGCCGAAAGAAGTACAGTATCTGTAGTGTTTCCCTTATTCTGTCCATCCCTGTACATTATCTACCGCTGTAGCTTCAAAAACACCGCCTTCGGTTACTATGTTGGAGGGAGGTGGGATTATACAATACGTTCTCACGTAGTACTGGAAACAATTGTCTGAAAAAGTAATCTTATTGAGAAAATTTTACTGCTCTTGTATATATTGTAACGTGTTTTGCTACTGAAGATCGCCATTCGGATTGTTAATTGGTTTATTTACCAACCTACAAATTGTAACTACAATTATTTACGACACAGTTGCGGTTTTCCCCAATTTATAAACCCTACACAATAATCTATTCACTCTGTCCTCGGTAGTCTTCACGTATTTATAACGCGGGAGCTATACAAGTCTCTGTGAATTACACACTCCCAATACAACGTACTACAGCACACAAAATAAGTCTTCACTGGCTGACTTATCAGTTATAGCACACTATCACAGGTTATCACATCAAATCTTCTAACCACGCGTTCGGTTCTTCTTTCCGCGACTGCTGCTATATTCCAACTGACTTCGGCAGCTGCTACATTTTAACTGCACTCGGCGACTTCACGATCCACACGGTGTTACTCCTGATCACACACTCTCTATATAACAGCTCAGCCGACTTTCCATACCGTTCGCTGTTTCCTCGTGTTACAGCGGTGCCCCCTGTTACATGACAGTGGGACGTGCTGTTGCGTCACCGCGGGGAGGGGGCGGAGTGTTGACTGGCCTGTTACCATAGCAGCGGCAGCGCTGTTACGTCACCGCTGGCTGGGGAGGGGGTGTCCTGCATAGCGCAAATACTTCACACTGCTCCCTCCTTAAGGCTGTTCTTCCCGAACAGCCTAACGGTACATCCCCGTTCCTTTTCCTTCCCGTTGTCCGTTCTCCAACCGCTACATCCGCTCCCTCTCTAAGACCAGCTCGTCTCGAACGGTTTCCTATTAACGTGCCAGAAGTTCCAGTTGTATCACGTTCGTCCCTCACATTCATCCATCGCACATTCACTCTCGCTGGGAAGCCGGTACTTCTATTTTACAGACTCCTCCTCTGCTTGAAGTCTCCTTTTTCCGTATTGGAGGGGGTCGACCCCTCCATAAGGTCCAGTCCTTTCTTGTCCCCAACTTAGTAGTAGATCTGACCATTCGCTTGGCGATCTCCAGTCATGCAGTTTTCGTGAAAATCATATCAAAATTTCCAGTGCCTTTCACTTGTACATTTTTCAGGTCTCGTTTCTTCACATAACGCGGCTGTCCGCCGTCTAGGTCCTTCACTTCATTTCTGCGTTGTAGTTGCTGTCTCAGGACTCAGTTCCTTATGCCAGTGTTGCATTCCGGGCCTCTCTTTCCGAACGTCCCTTCTTTCGGGCTTCTTGGTGTGACATTGTCTTTGTTTCGTTCCATATGCCTGTGTCCTGCACAGCGTGTAATCTTCCTCATGGCTGCGGTTACTTCTTTCCGCGGTCCACAAATTCTTTGGGTCCAAGATTTCCTGAAGATGTTCCTCTTGCGCCATGCCACTGTTGTACGGCGGGACACCTTACTGCAGGCGGCAGCCAACTTTATCCGGGATCCACAGTCTCCTCGGGTTAGTTCCTGTGGCTCTCCACGTCGCCCTGCAGCTTGCTTCTTGCCCCTATGCCACTTCTTCCTTCTTTTGACCGGTTTAAATACGGCGTTTTCAACGGGGACTTCTCGTTGTTGGGCCACCTCAGGTTTCATTTCCACTGAGGTCGGCTCTTTTTCTTCTAGACTTGCCTCCATCTCTTGGCAGGCCATCGTATCTTTTCTGGTATTCGTTGTCTCAAACCGTATCGAGGGGGTTTATTCTCGCCAGTGTTCGATTACTTCTCGCAGTTATTCTTGGGCGACTCTCCACTCCTCTCGGTCAGCCTCCATTATGGCCAGTAACTTGGCTTGGTTGTTTCTGATTTCTTCTTTGTCGGTTTTTCTATCGACGTCCATTTACGCCACTAGGCGTTCGAACAATTTTCCCATCTCCATCATGTGGCAGTACAATTCGTTTCAATAGTTCGTCCTAAATTAAGGCGTGTTGAAGTTCTTGAACAATTCTGACAACAGTTCATTGAGCAGAAAATTTGGAAACACGCTTTCAGGTCCAGGTAAAACAGAACTACGCTTGGGGCAGCGTTTATTTCACTCTAGTGACTGTGAGATACATCGGAAACAAACTGTGTGGCCACAGTGAGTAACATGAGACTCTTCAATTTGGTCAAAACAAATAGGGTATAAGAAGTCATTGTCTTTGTCCTCGAATGATCCTCCGACACCATTTAGCACTGTTGGATGTTGATGCTTCATGGGTCGAACTCTCTGTGGTGCCGTTATACGGTTGGAAGCAATTATGTGAACGTGAGACTTGGACAAACTTTGAGATGATGTAGTTCCAAAATCGCATTAAAGACCACTACAGCTTACTCTTGATAACCTTGCCATAGCGAGAGAACTCATCATAGATCTCCGTCATGTTAAAATTTAAAAATTAAAAATTTTAAAAATTATTATTTTTTTTTTTTGTGAGTCGAAGTTCAATTTCGATCACTGGTTCTACTTTCACATTCACTTGTTTTCTCTGTGTATAGTTCACTTTAGCTAGTTATATTATTACCACTGGTTAAAAAGTTCATGAATTAAAGTTCAACTTATCATATTGGCTGCACTTTCAGTTTTTAAGGTCTCGCTGCTCTTCCGCGTCCTCTGATGCTGGATCTTTTACAAGGAACGTAACACCTGAGGATGACCTCTTGAGGTCGAAACATGTAGTGTGACAATAATAAAAACGTGGTGTGTGGTCGGTGAAAGTA